GAGTGTGATCGGTGACTGGTCTGTTCACGGACGAGAGAGAACCCCCCACAAGAAAATGTGAACCCGGAAAAAGGCGAGAAACACGAGACAAGGATTACGGTTCAAAAGGGACTGACTGTCGAACGTTAGGGTTGAGCGTGCACACCGGATAACGTCACCGACAGAACAGGAACGTGGACCTCTCTTCTCCGTCGGGCGAACCAACAACAACGAGTAGCGCCCACGACATCGCCCTCTCATTCAAGCCATCAAACCAATCGTCAGTAACATCAACACCACCACCATCATGTACCCGCCAACGCCAACACCCCAATTATAATTGTCCTCGCACAAACAATACTTGTAACAAATATGCTCCACGCATCATCAGCTACAAGCGCTACAAGCTGGGCGACGTGAAGGACTTCGACTCCCTCTTCTTCCCGGAGAAGGAACAACTGCTCAGGGCGCTGGAGAACTTCGAGGCCAAGAGGGGCAGATACGCCATCAGGGGCTACCCGCACAAGCTCGGTTTTCTCCTCCACGGCCCCCCCGGCACCGGAAAGACGAGCCTCATCAAGGCACTAGCGTGCCGGACCGGGAGGCACATCATCCAGGTTCCCCTGGGGCGGATCAAAACCAATGAGGTGAATTGGAGGAGGCACGGTGGTTGGAGTTGCAGGCAGGGGCGGGGCAGCAAGGGCGCGGGTAGGCGGAAGGACGATCGTCTCTCTATGTACTATATGCATGTACTGTAGCTCAGATATTCTTTGTGGTGTGGTGGGGTGCGATCGCAGACCAACCTACTCGGTGGTTTCTTTGCTTGTCTGCCCGAAGAAGTGCCGGTGGACATGTGCCTTTCGAAGGAGTGACGAAAAACGGTAAGGTTTCCGGTGCATGTCTCTCGGGTTGCGGCGCAAGAATAGGCCCACCGTTTTCCCGTGGTATGTTTTCTTCCTAGGGTCGATGTGTTCTACAGTTCAGCGGTCGTCCCCGTTGATTGATTGAGTCTGTGTTAGGATTCAACCAACTTGTACTGCTGTATCTCGCCGAACCAATCAGCCAGAGATATCGATCGCGGTCCCGACCTTTGTCCAACTAAAAGTCCGAATCAAAATTGACCACCAATAAAACCCCGACAGGACCTGATGAACATCATGTTCGACCAATCGTTCCGCGTGGCCACGCAAGAGCTGCCGGTCCCGCTCAAGCACGAGAACGTGATCTACGTGTTCGAGGACGTAGACGCGGCGTCCAAGATCGTCAAGACCAGAAAGAGCATCATCAACAACGACGACAACAGCAGCAGCAGCAGCAGCTGCAGCAAGGGCGACGACAGCGAGGAGTACGCGGACGCGTACGACAAGCTCGACCTCTCGGTGAGCCGCCACTGATCGATCGGGAGTTTCGTGTAGGCGGCATCCATGTACTATACCTCTTCTGATAGTATTACAGGGGTTTGGAGTTGAACACTTTGCTGCCAGCTCGGTTTCTTTGTGGGTCAGTGATGGCGTTGTTCCCTCTTGACAGTTTTCCGGAGGTTGGGGGTTGACACATCGCTGCAAGCTCGGGTTCATGGTGAGTCGGGAATGACGTCGTTTAGAAGATCCCTTTCAGCGTTTGTTTGTTCACTACGTTAGGAACTGCGCTGTGATACTCCCCTTCAACCATGCGCCCCCGGTCGATGGAGTAATTGCCGCACACACACGCGCTACAGTTTTTTTTCGAAAAAAACACGCGTTCCTCCCGAATCCTAGACTCGGTGTTTATACGCAACCTTGACAACGGTAGTAGAAATAACTGGCCAAAGCCAACCAACAAAACATATGACGAAAAACTAAACAATAAAACATCGGACGCATTGCCAGGGTCTCCTGAACGTTCTGGACGGGGTCGTGGACACGCCCGGCAGGCTCGTTGTGGTGACCACCAACATCGTCGACTGCTTGGACCCCGCTCTCATCCGGCCCGGGCGCGTCGATCAGAAGATTCTTCTCGGGTACATGCGGTGAGTGAAAGTGGCGATGGGCAGGCCACTCTCTAGGCCGAAACGCTTCTTCAAAATCTCCCGTGTTAATGCCGCCGCCGCCGCCGCCGCCGCCGCGAAGATGGTGTTGGTTGTTCTCTGCCGTCATTTAAGCTCTCTTGTCGGTGCAAACAGCAAACACCGGAAGTAATTCATCCGTCCCGGCTCTATCCCGATTAGTTCAGCGCGTACAATGCCACACACAAGCTCACCTCCCCCCCCCCCCTCCCCCCCCGTCGTCCACCCGAAACGAAAAAAGGTACGACGCGGCGCTGGCAATGACCAAGCACTTCTTCCCCGAGGAGAGCGAGAGCCTCACCGACGAGCAGAAGAAACGCCTCCAGGACGTCTTCAGCGACAAGGCCGTCGCGCTGAGAAGGAGGCCCGCTTCGAACTACGGCGGGGGCGACCGGGGCGAGCTCACGCCCGCGACGATGGAGAAGGTGCTGGGCGAGCACGAAAAGGTTGACGACTTCCTGGAGGCGCTTGAGGCGTTCGCTCTGGAGAAGCCGGCCAGCGGCGGTGGCGGTGGCGGTGGCGGTGGCGGTGGCGGTGGCGGTGGCGGTGGCGGCGGCCGTGGCGGTGGCGGTGGCGACGCTCTACCCAAGGATCAGCTCGGGCTAACCCTGAGCAGCGGGGTGGCGAAGGCGGACGAGAGCGTCGAAGAAGAGGAAGAGGAGGAGGGCGCAGGAGAGACCCCGGTGCTCGTGCCTGCTGGTTTCAAAGACGATGACTAGACGACTGACGGCGCGGCAACTACGACATGATAGATAGATGGACAGTGGTAGTGTCTCGCTGCTGTTGTCCTCTTAGGTCTGCCGACGGGCGATCGTTTGCGGTTGCGCGCACGCGTGCGTGACGGCGAGACTTGTGTCGAGTAGAGATGTGTGCGTGATAACGGACGCTACGGTTCTTCTCCCGACCTGACACTCTCCTCGATCTTTTTCGTAAGATGACCCGTTTCGTAGGTTCTAGCTGTAGTAGGTGCTAGCTGCGAAGGTGCCGGCGGACTGTTATTTCTTTTGGAGGGGCAGAAGGGGGTGATTCTTCAGGACGATTGTATTATATATATTTGCCCCTCGCAGTCCACCCGTCACCCGTACGTATATACACAGTAGTCCACATCTATCTGCGGGGATAAAACATTAAAAAACAAGTTGCGAGCAGCACGCATACATAGAGAGGTTTCTTTGAGGCATCTACAGCAGCAGTTGAGAAGTTGTTTGTCGAAGGCGGCCAAACCGCCTTTGTGGAGAAGGTGAAATCCTCCTATCCTACTTGTAGTCGAATAGTATCGTAGCACGAGAAGAGCATCCGCAGGCTACGACTGCTCAAGTGCGGTATTGTGGCAAGAAGATGCATCCGCGCTATTATGTGGTGTGCGGGACAGAGATATGATGGTACTGGTTTCAATTTTGTCAACAAAGCCCAGGAGGGAGATTTTGACCGCGCTACATCTGAGCCCCGCTTGGTTGTTTCCGGACCTCCACTGCTTCCTGTTTCGGGAGCGCCCTGATTGTGTTCGGTGTACTTCATATCCTCTCTCGTTAAATTGACATATGGTCTACAGTTGGTGTGTGTGCCCGTAACCGTCGGGTGGGGTTCTAATGCCGTACATGTCTGTTCTATTTAGTCTAGTGTGTGTTCCGACGTATTGTGGTTCTTTTTTGGTGGAGAGGACTCGCTGAACAGATGATATTATGGTGATGAGAATGGCGCATCAGTTCAAATGCGTCATATTATTTGGGCCGGGGCCTCGGTATTTTTCTTGATACGGTTGTAAATCAACATGTTGCTGTCTGGTGATGGATTGGTACTTACTTCAGCTTCGTGCGACTAATTAGTTTTCTAGGATGTTCGCCCGGAGGTTTCGGGATTGTTGTTTTGGGTGCGTTATTGTTGGTGTTGCTATCTGTTTCATTCAAGCCTTCCTTCATCGAGGAGTTCGACTACGCGGGATGTTGCGTTTCTGGGAGTTACAGTAGTGTTGTTGCATGATGTTGTTCTGTGCCACTGGAACCGTGTGCTTGGCGAGACATATAGTCTACATAATTTCAAACCACAAAATATCTCTAAACAAAAGCGAAGTGCGGGCAAAACCAGAATGTAGAAGGGGCGATGAATCCGGGCTCCGATCTTTCTCGTATGCGTGTGAGGAGTTTGCTGCCATGAGCTCATCTTGTACTTCCTTGCGCGGGCGGGCGTCCAACCCTACTACTGCGCTTTTAGTAATGGTCTCGGATGTTTTTGTGTGTGTGTTTTTTTTTTGGGGGGGGGTATGCCACGCCGGAGCCTGATTGTGGGGGTGGGTGTGGTTTTCCCGGTGTCGCGTGTTGTTGTCTTTTGGTGCGCACGATACGGTCGATATTGAGCACTACTGTAGGTGTTTCATGCTGGCATGCGTTGTTCCGTGCGACGCGGTTGACCTTATTATTGTCGCATGTTGTACAATACAACTGGTACATTTTTATTGGGGTTTCCGTCAACGATCCAGACAGTATGAAGATCTCTAAAGGTCGGCCCAGGCTGTTGACAGTATAAACATGATGCCATAGACCAATTGCCAAGCTAAGCTACCCGTTTCCTACGGGGGCTTGCCAAGAAGAAAATTGTGTGTTTGGTGGTTTAAGTGGCTTTAGTGAGCGAGGAACGGGAGGGAGGGCAGGCCTGATCTAGTTACTTACGATAAATGGTGAACAAACGACGAATGATTGGAGATTGGGGTGTCGGGTAGTGCCGCTGTACATGGGTGCACGCGCGTCCACTGCACTTCAATCCCGAGCGTGTTCTACAGACGAGATGCGCTGCAAAAGCGACGTGCATCATGCCAATACAGAAAGCTTGAGCGCAGTTACGGCTGTGCTTTCAACTGACGAAATCCACAGACGAGAGGCTTGGTCAAGTGCGTACTACTGTACCACACTATAGCTGGGCCTGTGCCATCTTTTTCTCTTGGTGGGATGCATATAAACCATGTCACAGCCTGGACTAACAGCCGTCGAAGGAGTCCTGGTGAATACTATAGACCACCGGACGTCTCCCTACGGTCGGGGCTACATCGCCGCTGGACGCTTGCGCTGCGCTCCTTTATACGAACCAGCGTGTGTGCGTCCGATGCGTTGGATACAAAGAAAGGTGTTAAAAGTTCCCAGTTGTTCACTTGACTACGAGGAGCGGCAACATTCCGTGGACGTCAACTGATGCGTACGTGCCTTCATCTGTCACGTGCGGGATCCGCTCTAACAACGTGGTAAGAAACAAGACACAACACAAATGTTAGCCCCAAAGTGAATGTACTGCCCAAGCGGATGGATGGGTGTTCTGTCCGTATTTTTTCCATCACATCCATCCATCGGCGTCGCTCAAACCCACCACGGTCGCCCGAAGGATCCCGTACCTCCCTCGCTCAAGCGGCGAAAAAATCTTGTTGCCAACAATGAACTATAACCATCACCAAAACTAGCGGGAGAACGGAAACAACATAGAAGTACATATTTACACGTCTAAGCCACCGACACGAAGCAGGTATACGACCTTCCTCCTCTCTTCTCTTAACCCGTCTTGACCCACTAATAAAACCGTCCTCACCACTACCCACCCCCCGTCCTTATCCCTGTCGGCAAGTCCGTCAGTCGTCGTGAACATGACAGACCACATAAAAGTCGCGCGTTCTGCGAGACTGGTGTCGCAACGCAGCACACAGAACAATATTGCAAGGAGAGACAGCCTTGTCCGGCCCTGAATCGACCGTCTACAACACACTATATTTGTCATTCTACATACTACAGCAGCAGCATGTAGATCGCAAAGAGGGGCTTGTCACGACGACCGGAGAAAGAGGTGCCGCCGCGAATAGGCGCTCTCTTGTTGGCGTAAATCGTTCCAAACCATGTACCATCCGGTTCCCGAAACTCAGTACACCTCGCTTGCCTCGGTCAACCGCGGCAGTCTACTGGTGTACAGTACCTCGCAAGCCAAAAAAAATGCAACGCAGGCGTCTGCTTCGAAAAAAGGTGCTACAAAAACCGCGTGAGAAAAACTTGGAATGTACGTTAGCGCCGTCGGTCGTCATTGTAGCCGAGGACCTACAACAACCGAAGAGCTGTCTCGCTGCTTCACCACCTGGTCGATGGCGTCGAACGATTCCTGTAGTTCCTCCGAGGGAAGATCCTGAAACACACACACACACATTATAGTGGCCGACGGGGTATATGTGGGTGGGTAGAAGTACGCACGTAAACGTTGGTGGGCTCGAGCTACATCGCGGCACTTGGGGTGATACTCCAATATTATTGTTCCGTGCGATGTTTGTTGCCTCTCCAGTCGACGCCGTACTGCGGTCATTGCCGGCCTACTACTACTTCCTCTACGTATGATTTCTCGTTTATTACGAACCCACCTGTAGTATGACGAGGATGGTCGAATACATGGCGTGCGTGGGTCCGAAGTCGGATTCTTTGCCCGCGTTCCGCCCGTGCGTCAGGGCTCTAAGCATGCTTGCCACCTGCAAAAGAAGCGGAGAAAGGATACAAGGAGAGGTTAACGACGAGATGCAGAGAACTATAGAGAAGGCGAACGAGCACAGAAGAACGGGGACAACACCGGCAACATAGTCACACCCCACCACAACCGCCCCCCCCCTCCCTCCCCTCCAAGAGGTTTTCAACCAACCCGCACAGCCCCCACCCCCCCGCACGCGAAACACCCCCCCCTCAACTCACCCGCTCCCTGCCATACGAATCGAGCTGGCTCAGCACCTCGTCGAGGACCAAGAGGTTGCACGAGAACCGCCCCCTCTGCCGCGCCAGCTCGATGAAGGCCAGCTCCAGGGCCAGGCTCGCCCGCCTCCACTGACCCCCGGACAGCTGCGACAGGGAGCGGTCGCGGAAGCGACCGTCGGCGGCCCTGACGCTGGCCCTCTTCACGACCCGGTCGCCCTCCATGGGCAGGTGGAGCTGCAGGGCGCCGTCCGACAGCGCGTCGAGGTACCTGTCTTTGTCATTGTGCAAGGGTTTAGCTAATTGCCCAGCCCGTGTGTGTTGTTCGTTTATGGTTTTAGTGCGAGCGATCCACACACATGCGCTCTTCACATGACTGACCGACGCGTACGAAACCGAAAAAAAACGAAACGACACGAACGAAACCGAAGAAAAGTGGGACGAGAAACACTGTGCAGCATCCAAGACGTGAGGACGCTTGGTTTGATGTTAAGCTGCCTCCGGTTTTGTATTTGCTCGAAATCTATCTCTGCAAGAGAGCGCCGAAACCCTCGCAACGAGAGGAGACCACCGGATGCATGCAACGAGGACTCTGCTCTAATTCTCGCCCAGGGAGATTTCTCGTCAGCAGCGTCTGCCTCTCTATTCGCCAGCGGGCCTAACGACGCAGCTCGGACGTCCAGCGCATCGGGGGTATCCGTCTATACTACAGACATTAACGAGAGAGATCACGACATTCTCCTGCACAGTTTTGTCGTGGGGTGAGCAATCGGCCATTCGAACAGGGGCGCTGAGATACCGACCAACAACAAGGGCATAGGAAAGAACGAAGAAATCCCAGCAGGTACGTACGGGTCACAACTTACCCCTCACCTCTCGACAACAACTGCAAGAAACCCCATTTGCCGTCCCCCCTCCCTCGCTACATCATACACCAAGGTGTGTGGTATTGACTGCACATTGTCCTGCCCAGATAATTTCTTTGCGACAACGACACAATCGACGCCCCCCAACCCCCCGCCCTCTTTCCCCTCGAACCCCCCGCTTCTGAGCCGCCGCCCGCCCCATCGCAAAGCCACACCAAACCTACATAGTCTACCTATGATCCCCCGTTTTCAAGTACGCTCTGACCTGGCAACGTTTGCCTCCAGCTGGTTCACGGCATCCCGGAAGACGAAGTTTTGGACGCCTCGCATGCCGAGGTGCTCAGCAAGGGCTGGCGGCGAAACGAAGCAAGGGGACGCGGTTGATGCATTCGCAACGGTGATTGGGGTGCCAGGTGGGTGGGCTGGCGGTAAGGTCGCGGTGGGGCTGGCTCGTCTCATCAGAGATCGGAGCGGGTGTGGCTACAAAATTCATTGCAGCATTTTCGCGCCTTGGCCGCGGTAGATCAAGCCCAGTTGCGCGGCCGTGTGCACGCAAGAGTGCCGAGAGTAGGAAAAGCATGCCGACGCGAGCAAAACGTGAGCAGGAGTCCGCGCAGTCGAATTCTCAACAGGGTTCTCTTTTCGCAAAAATACAACTACAATAAAAAAAAAAGTTTTCCGGCGGCGGCAGGCCGAGGGTGGCGCCGCGAAAACACGGTCCGCTTTGCGACAACACCAGCGACAAGCAGTTCCTCGACGTCTCCGCGTGAAACAACCAACAGAAGGGGCAAGCACCAACGAATTCTACGGCGCCCCTTACCGGTGCTGGTGGCCTTATGGGCGGAGGCGTCTTTCTCCTTCTTCTCCACCTCGGACAGCTCCTTTCGAAGCCTTTCCGCCTGCGTCTCGATCTCGCGGACCCGCGACAAGGCCACCTCTTTCGCTTGCAACAGCCGCTCTTGTTCGGCCTTTTTTGTTCCGTTGTTGTTGTTGTTGTTGTTGTTTGGTATTTGTTGTTCCGAGGCCGGTGCCGCGCAGCCGAGCAAGACCAACGGGCAGTCCACCCACGTGCCGAGGTCAGCGGGATGGCGTAGCAGGGGGGGAAAGGGGAACGTGACCAAGTTCAAACGATCGACGATTGGGGGGGGCGCAGGGTGAGCAATGGCAGCCAAGACGCGAGGAGAGAAGGGGGCGGGGTCGTGACCGACCCCGTCTGGAACGTTGCCCTACAGCAGAGACGGTAGCGACGAATCATGACGCTGACCGTAACAGGCAAGGTTGGCAAAAAAGAAGTGTGTTCGTACGCTCTGCACCCCTTCGCGGCATGCGCGGTGAGGGAAACGATGCAAAACTGCTATTAGAAGGAAAACAGGGCCAAAACACACGCGGACGTTCTTGAGACTATTCTAGCTCAAGAGCAAGACGATGTCCAACACAACGAGGAATAAGAATGCACGAAAAACAAATTGCGTAGCCCCTCCCCCTGCCCCACCCCCGTTTCTGCCTCACCCCTCCTGCCCGCCCTCCGTTTATCCTATTACCTTGTCAGTCAGTCAAAAGGACGTGCGTGCAAATGAACCGCGGGGGCGACATGAGGAAAAGAGAAAACGGAACAAAGGCAAGCTATTTAGAAGGGCGTTGCAAACACGTCTAAATTTACCTGCTCCGCTTGAGACCGTAGCTGCAGCTCTGCCTCCCGTGCAACCGCTTCCGCTAGCTCGTGCTGAGCAAACGTCTGGTTTTTGTCCATCCCGTGGAGGGTTCCAGCGGGAGGAAACGCGAACGTGTGGGGCGGGGCGCGCGGGGGGGGGGGGTAAGGACTCGATGCATTCAAGGAGACTCACAACGTTACCCTGACCTCTCTACGGAAGACGTGGGGCGACATTTACCAAAACACCGGCAGAACAAGCAGCAGGCGCCGGCCGGCTATTGCGACGAAATGCTGCTCTGCTGCTACAACTCTTGCGGGTGCTGCCACTGGCCGGCACTGTTGTTGTTGCTCAGGTGTGTGTGTGTGTCGCGGACCTGCTTATCTCGGAGCGCTTTGAGAGCCCACTCCGCCGCCTTGGTCTTGCCCTCCCACTCCCGCCGCAGAGCCGCCTCCCTTCGAGACTGCTCCTCCATCTTAGATTCCGCCGCGGTAGCCCCATGCTCCGCTCGCCTGATTCGACGACACCAAACGATTGTCAAACAATTTTCAGTTTAAGGCTGATACGACAACAACTTTGGCAAGTTCTGTTCATGCATAGGCCATCGATCGCGAATACCCCGTACGGACGTGGTGGCGCCAGACAAGATCACCAAAAACAAAAAGTCGCAAATGCTTCAAAGATATGAAATGCTTCAAAGATGCCCATGATGTAACTAACGCACAGAATAAAACTAATGTTGAACCTCTCCTTGGGCTCTTAAGGAACTGTTCTCTCTCTCTCTCTCTCTCTCTCAATTAACGACAGACACGCCGCGCCCGCCGCAGCTGCCCCCCCTCGTACAAAGCAATAGAACTCTCAACATCACACCTCGTCCCCTCGCGAGACAACTATCACACAAGCCACAAACAACTGGGCGCACCACCATCACAAACTCGAAGCACGACCAACAAACAGCACGTCAAAAAACTACCTACACACATCCACCCACAATCCGCGGCGGCACTCAAGCATTCCTTACAGGGAAAAAAAAAAAATCTCACCGGAGCTCGTCTCGCCGTGCCCTTAGTTCCTCCCCGCTCTCCCTCTTCCGCCCGAGGGCCTCCCGCTGCTCCCTCTCTAAGCGCCCCAGCTCGCCCACCAGGTCGGCCTTATCCCGAGCCAGCTCTAGCGACCGGCGAGCGACCGTCGCCTCCCTCTGAGACCTGGTCAGCTGCGCCTCTGCTACTGTCTGGGACACCCGGAGGATCTCCCCGCGCTCGTGGATGATGTTGGGCGAAACGGGCTGTCCGCATGTGTGGCAGGCACCCTTTGGGCGGGATTGGGGGAGGGACGGTAACAAGCAAACCGGTTGAGTGATCTGGTGCCCTGCAGGTCTTGGTTGAGAATAAAGTTGCAACAGATTGGGTGCGCCGCTCTCCCCCGTCTTCCTTCTGCATCTCTCACGCCAATCCGTTCGTTCGACCCCCGTCAAAACCACTCTATTCCGATCATCAACCCTAACGCTCCTCTGCGACCACTTAGCATCTTGCTCTTGCGTCGCTATTACTCCGCTCAGCACGGATGTACTCACTTACAACTCGCGACGCTTTCCTTCGTACCTCTACCGGCACTAATTTCTCTTTCAACGTCGTACGTATTCATCCACCTATTAACGCTGCTCGCCGCCCCCAACCAACCCAACGCCCCACCCCCATCAACAGCGCCACCGCTCACCACCTCTCACTCTACACGTATCCACACCTTGCCGACCACTTCGAGACCCGCGTGCGCCTGGACAGCCTCGGCCGCGTGCCTGAGGGCGGCCTGTGCGTCCGCGAGAGAGGCTCGCGAGGACGAGGCGAGCCCCTCCGCCCGCTCAACCTCGCGAGACGCCGCAAGCGCCGCCGCTGCTGCGGTCTGGTCCGGGCTCTCCCCGCCTGATCTGTTGATGCTGGCGAGCTCGGCTGCAACCACCCCCCCCCCCCCCCCCCCCGGTGTAGATTTTTTTGAGTCCGTGTGACAACGGAGCAACGGCAAGAACGTTGGATGCAAGCGGTATCGGTCTAGAGTTTCCGTTTTGCGAACGGTAGTCGGTGGATAAACAAAAAGGCAAAGGGATAACAATTAAAAGGGATTCTCTCTGTGGTCTTCCTCCCGTGTTGACAAGTCCCGGCTGATGATTCCAAAACATAACGAAAGGTGTCAAAAACTGCTGGCTAGAACAGATGGGGACACAACATACACAATTGCGTTGGGCGTACAAGGGTGGAGTAGATCAAGCGAGCACGCAAACGCGTTTCCCGCCAAGCGGTTACACGGCGAAACCAACCAAAAACGACCGTTCTTCACAAGCGCGCTAACCGGCAGCCTACCTGCTCCTACCACCACCCTGTGCGCAAAGAGTCAATCCCTCTGCCTGCACTGTAAAAAAAATCACCCCCAGACACCCGGCGTTTCCGGATAGCACGCACATCGGGTCACGCTTCAAACAACGAACAGAGAAAACACATTTTCCCCGACGAAGCAAAAATCTCCCACTCGTGGTTTCCCTCGCGGTAATTCTCGACCTACCTACTCAACTTAGCCGCTACGATGCAACGCCCGCCCTCCGGCAGCATCATCACCACCACCATCACCACCACTATCGCCCACAAACGCACCCCACAGATCAGGATCCCTTTTTCGCAGCAGTACCAGTTTCTCCTTCACCCCGAGCTCCGCGCGTTCCGAGTCTGCCAGTGCCGCCTCGCTCCGCTGCACGTCCCGGCGGAGGAAGGAGACGCGCTCTTGTGCCGCCTTCGCCTCGCCTGTCGTATTTTTAGTAGACAAACAAACGACAGGTTTTCCAAATAAAGAGGCACGAAGAATGGAACGGACAACAACCAACTTTGGTGGTGCCACGACAGCACTTGCGCGTGCATGTGTATTTGTGGGCTGGAGGGATGCTCTTCGTGTGGTTTCAAGTCGTGGCGGCTAAAAGACCGACTGGAATGGTTGGGAAGGGTTAGGTTGGGTTTAGAATTCACGTAAGACATATTTGCCCCAATCCCGAAACAAAGCGCGTGTGCTGCGACAACACCCCTGGCGCAATACGTGTCCCCCCACCGCCTGCCCCGCCTCTCGTCTCATTTCCTTACCCGTTACCCCACCACTGCCTGCATCCATCCTCTCGCTCGCTTCAACGACATCTTATTCCATCCTGCCATCCCTTCCCCACAACCCCCGTCTCTTCAACTCACCCAGCAACCTCATTCTCTGGTCGGTCCAGCCCCGTGCAAGCTCTTCCACCTCCAGCCTCAGCAGCCTTAGCGCCTCCTCGGCAACCTCGGCGTCGTCCCGCGCCCGCCTGGCGTCCAACCTCGCCTGCCCGCTTGCCCCGCCCGCGGCCTCTTCTTCCAACGCTGCTACTGCCGTGTCTACATCCGTCGCCCCCGCAGCGGGTTCCTTGCTGTCTCCCCCTTCTCTAGAATTGACCCCGTCGGCAGCAGCAGTAGCGGCGTTTTTGGTGCCGGTCTTGCTGGGCTGCTTCCCTTCCGCTACGTCCGCAATCGGTGCATCGGACTCGCCCGCCGACGTTGATGCTGTGGGCGCTCCTGAGGCGGAGGTGGCGGCGGCGGCGGCGGCTTCTCTTCGCGCACGCTGCAGCTCTTCCGTCAGCCTCGCCAGGTCCTCTCGCCGAGTAACGGCCTGCCACACGCCCGTGCAAACGAAACTCGACGATGTTTGCCACTACTTTTCATTCAGCGTGCACATCGAGTGCAATGCCATTGCAATATCTGTCGTGTGCCACGTCGCCCACACGCGCGCGAGTGGCAGCATGTAGCCGCTTAACCTAGGCTACGGTGAAACTAGTCTTTACAAGTGGTAGACGTAGCGGCCGTCGTTGTTTCATGAAAATTCATAGACGCCTTCTCTTCATCCGCCGACCCTACGGCAGGGCACCTTTCTATCCTCTTAAAGACAAACACGAAACAACAACGAGCACCACAAAATGTACACGAACGAAAACAAACCAGGCGAACAACGAGAAACAGAGCGCGTCCGGGGGAACCGCGTTGACCTCTCCTGCCCCCGCCCGGCGTACATGCCTCCCCGACCCCCTACCCCTGTAGTACTCCACCCACCCTTTCTCTAAACCTTGCGGCTTCCTCGTCGCTTTTCCTTGCCGTGACCCTGCTACGTGAGGCTAAATCCTGCCACAGATCCATCGGCACCTGTTCAAACGCCACACGAAACCAAGAGGCGCAGGGAGAACACGAGCGCCGATGGGGGGGGGGGGTGTACTCATAGTCGTGCATGCCGTAGTCGTTTGACCATTGACCTCGCATCCCTACAAAGCCGGGACGGAGCACGCCGGGTTCTCACCGGACCAGGCTCTCACATCACCAAGCGCGAAGCGCCGTGAGGTATTTGGCGAGTCGCATGAAGGGTGAGCTGCATCCTGCTAAGGGTGTTCGGCATCTTGTGCTTACTTCCTTGCGTACGGATGACAGCTACGTATGACTTAATTTATTTTCTGGTGCTTTCACTTCCAGAGACAGTTGTAAGCACTGTGTAACTGCCTCGAGGAAGCTTGACCATTTTAACACAACGTGGTGCGATCATCCCCCGTTGCGCGGAGTGAGGTTTCTCGACCCCGCACAACATGATCTACTCGACCACCATTATGGTTACCGCCAAAAAAAAAACCAGAGGTAAAAAAAAAAGACGGTAACCTGGTTGCCGAGTTCACGAGGTGAATTGGCTTGTTTTACAACGTCGTTGCCAAGCGACGAAAACCCAAACCCCGATGGCAAACACCGGGGGGGGGCGGCTTGTTTTACAACGTCGTTGCCAAGCGACGAAAACCCAACCCCGATGGGGGGGGGGGGGGGAGGGGGTCAAGACTATAATGCAATTCGGGGTAGACAGCGTGTGTTCCGGGGTAAAAGCGGGGTAATACCGTCTCGAAGAATGTACGAGATAAGAGACCACGACACACACCAATGCATGCAGTACACACCACGGAAGTGGGCATTATTATTACCAGAAGCGCCAGGTCTTCCTTGAGCTGAGCGTCCGTGCTCTCCAGTAGGCCGTTGAGGTGGTGCTGCCCCTGAAAGATACCGCGCCCTAGTACGTGCGAGGACAGCCCGAGCTCGTCCTCTAGAACCACCTGCGTCTCTCTGCCAAACGGGACGCAAAGAAAAAGAAACCAGTGGGGTTAAGAAAAGGGTGAGAGCGTGGACTGGGGCAGGGCCCGTTGGTCGATTTGTTACGTCATACGACACACACGGGAGAATCAAGGCGGGGGGGGCAGGCGGTAGGGAATGAGAAGGTGGACAGAGGGGAGGGGCAGAGGGTCGCGCGAACCGCAGTATTCGTGTCTAACCAACTCCATAAAACGCCCGAACAAATACCACAACCACGCGCACTTCCTCTGGCATACGAATCCAGTTGCATTTAGTGCAACCCGCGGCTGCCGGAAAAACCACCAAGCATCTCGCCCTCTTTACCAACCTACTGTAACCGCTTCCTATCTCCGTGCCCGCTCCTTCCACCTCAGAACTCACTTTGCTATCTGGCGGGTCAAGTCCTTCCCGTCGTGCTTGAGGAACAGCTGGTTCACCCGCGCCCCCTTCCGCCGCTTCAGCCAAAGGGGTTTCCCGTTGAGCGTGGCCGTGAGGGTCACCTCCGCCACCGCCGACCGCCGCGAGCCTTCCTCGTTCCCGCCTGTGAGGAGGAAAGCAACAAGCAAAATGCGGGGGTGGCGTAGCAGGTGTTCACACCTCAACCTTGCAAGCAAAAATGGCAGCCAACGCCGAGGCCAGCGGTGCGGTCGGCAGCAGCACCCCTCTCTATCCTGCTCTTCCTCGGACGCAGCAACAGCACCACAGCATCAATCAGGAGTCGTCGAGAGCGACGATAGCGGTACGCCGCCTTGTCCGTCCGGCGAGATATGTTTAGAAAATCACGAAACGTCATCACCACACCGAAAACTGGCACATTGGGGAGTCTACCGACGGAAGGAGTGGCTGCCGCTGATGGGTTGGGCACCGGCAAGCCCGCCGCAATCGCGGGTCCGGCAAGAAGCACGGACGGTGTCAGCACCGCCGTGCAGGAGATTGACTCACCGGTGGAGGTAGCGGAAGATGCCGAGGAGACCGGCGAAAGAGCGCGGGTCACCTCGTGGACCACGTCGGCCACGCGGCCGTCAGACACGGGCCTAGTGTTCGAAGATTGGAAGAACACGAAAGCAAACAAACAAACAAACAAACAAAAAAAGGGTCGGGACGCAAAGTGCACGCACGTAGAGGGTTAGGCAGCATACAGCAGGCACGGCGTCCCCAATACAATGTATCCACCTTAGGGGCAGTGAGAGAGGTACAGTGAGAGGTAGGAAGAGACACAGATTGCTCCACACCAACGGCACATACCGAGAGACAACTGACGCCAGCGTAAGCCATCAAGGCGGTACTAATGAGCTAACAGGGGCATGCCCCATTTTCACCGACAGAGACGTGCACGAAGAAAACAAACTCATACCGGTATATCCAAAGACACCCTCAGAATGGAGGTGCCGCCTCTTGCTTGCCTTTTCCACCCTCTCCCCCTCCCCTTCCATCCCTTTCACTCTCTCACTCTCTCGATATATTTTGCTTGCCTCCCCCCCCCTCTCCTCTCCCCTTTCCCTCCCTCCGAGTCTCTCTAAATACATTTCCATCTGTCGCAAACCAGTTCCGTTAGCACTCATGAATCCTGCGCCACCACACCACACCACACCACACCTGGCATCGACAACGCCCGCCAGCGCCCAGAGAGCGGACATGGCCAGCGTAGTTTTCCCCGCGCCGTTGCTGTCTGCTCCAGAGTCGTCCAGATTACTCCCTCGAAGCAAGACAACGCCTCGCTCGTCAAGGGGATACGTGATCTGGAGAACCGTGTGTGCGTGACGGCGGAGGGGGGGGGGGGGGGGGGGGGGGGTCCCCAAAAAATTTGGCCGACGTTACCAAAAAAAAAACGGGCCCCCCCTTGTGGTTTTAAAAAACACCCCCGGAAATTTCGGGAAGCCCCCCCCCCAGGGACCCCCCCCCCCCC